CAACGAACGTCTCACGTGCTCTACTCAACAATACTCCGTTCAATTACACACATTATTGCCGTCAATTTGTGACCGTCTTATATATAAAAGACTACACTATATCTAGAAGGATCCCGAGATTTAAGGAAAGGACGTGAACGTTCAAGAACGATGTGGCGTGATACTAGTCACGTGACCTCTGCTGATGCAACACTGCCCCCTCCTTAGTATTGTTCGTCCCGAACAATAGCCACTTACATTAAACCAATGACAATTAACAATAACTTAATTAAATGTACAGAATTACAAACACAAAATTACAATTCAACAAAGTCTCTTAATTTTACGGGACGTATCTTCTTCCATACTGGCCTCTGTCTCGTTGGCTTCTGCTTCATGTGGGGTTCATCTGCTTCATCAGGAAATGTCCTATCATCGGTAACAGTCACATCAGTGGTAGTAACTTCATCAAAAGCTTCACCGTTTCCCTTCTCAAAACTGAGTAGAGTTTCTTCTTCGACAGTGGCTTCTTCAGGTGGCACGTCTTCAGCAGCGTCATTTGTTCTGTTGTCCACTTCGTCCCAACTGAAATATCCTGGACCATGATAACGCGAAAGCCTGTTGGCATGCGCCACTTTTGGCTTACCTCGCCGACCACATTTTATCCAGAAAGTCACGTCTGAGAGACGATCAACTATGTCATATGGGCCTTCCCATGGAGAAGACAACTTAGGAGACTTCCCTTTGGTCTTCCTGGGATTATACAACCATACCTTGTCTCCAGGTAAAAGCTGACTTCAGTAGATCTCTTATCACAAGTTAACGTCATCGAATCAGCAGACGTTTTCAAGTTTGAACGCACTTGATGATGGATATCACCCATCCTTTCTGATAACACAAACTCTGACATATTCACTGGCAACTCTTCATAAGGTGGGTGTCCCTTATGCTTGGGTCCCCTTTTAGCACTACATCTACTGCATGTCCTGCACCATTCTTCCACATCTCGCCTCATACCTATCCAGTAAAATCTTTGTCGTATGTGACTCAATGTCTTCTTGATTCCGAGATGTCCTCCTGTTACAGTATCATGGGAGTGATGCAACACAACTTCCCATAATTTCCGTGGTATAACCGTTTGCCAGGTCGTCACTTTCCCATCGTTAGTTCCCATCTCCGTCCAAGAATACCATCTGCAATCTTTAACTGGTCCCGTTGCACCCAATAGTGCTTTGTCACA